TTTTTTTGAGTCAGGGTCTCACTCTGTTGCCCAGGCTGGAGTGCAGTGGCACACTCACAGCTCAGTGCAGCCTTGACCTCCTGAGCTCAGGTAATCCTTCTATCTCAGCCTCCTAAATAGCTGGGACTACGGGAGCACACCCCTATGCCTGGCTAATTTTTTTATTCTTTTTCAGGGATGAGGTCTCGCTATGTTGCCCAAGCTACTCTTGAACTCCTGGGCTCAAGCAATCCTCCTTTCTCGGCCTCCCAAAGTTCTGGGATTACAGGTGTGAGACACCCTGCCCAGCCTGTGCTAAGTCTTTTAAGAGGAGTGTCACAACACCCGTGAGGCAGGTGCTCTTTGTGCCTTTATGTTACAGATGAGGCTCAGAGAAGTTAAGGACTTGTCCAAGGTCACATAGCTCAGTGCAGAGCTGGGATTTGAACCCCAAACCTAGTTTTCAACCTGCTCAGCTGAAGTTCTGGAAGAGCCTTAAAGATCATTTGTTGAGCCTTCTCAATACCAGGCAAACCGAGGAAGCCAAGAAGGAAAGAACTTATCTAAAGAAGAATAGCCAACCTTATGCCTGGCTCCACACTGGTCACTTGGCACATTTTCTTATTACACCTCACAACCTGCCCCTGAGGTTGGCTTGGAGACCTTCATTTTAGGAACGATAAAATGGAGCTCAGAGAGACTAAGTGACTTTCTCAAGGTCACAGAGCAAGAGGGCAGTAAGTCCATTCTAGCTGACTCCCAACCCTTAGGTCTGACAATGTAACCCCTCCTCAACTATCGTCATTGTCCTGTAGCCTAAACCGTGATGTGAAAATAACCCTTTCCTGGTGCCCCCCAATCCTTATCTGTCTGTCCCAACAGGCTTGAGAGCTGGGAGGGACCCTCATCTCAGGGATGGAGGGCCAGATTGAGCCATTTCATGTATTCAACCTTTCAGCTACTCGGGAGACTGAGGTGGAAGGATTGCCTGAGCCCAGGAGGTCGAGGCCACGGTCGTGCTACTGCACTCTGGCCTAGATGACAGAGTAAGACCCAACTTTTGAAAAAAAAAACTCTTTATTGAGCACCCACTAGTTGCCAGGCACTGTTTCAAGCCTTGGGGACTCAGCAGTGAACCCATATCAGGAATGTCTGCCCTCAGGGAGCTGGCACTGAAGGCCTGGTGACCTAAGGCCTTAGTGGCTCACCTCTACACAACTTCCAGGCTGAGCTCAGTCACTGACCATAATGGCAGCTTGGTGAAGCTTTGTTGAGTGAGTGGGTGAGTGTAGTGTCAACCGGCAAAGAACGAGAAACAGCAAGCTGTGGCAGGCCTGGAACTCACACTCGGAACTCTGAATCTCTAGTCGCAGATGACAACCTTGCAGAGCAAGACCCAAGTTCAAATCCAGGGCCCGCCACCTTAAGGTCCACAAAACCTCAGGCAATTGTCAGTCATGTGTGAAATGGGAAAGGTCATAGTTGTCCTTGTAGGATTATTTCAAAACAGTAAACACAAAGCACCGAGATGTGTGGGACATTAGCCTAAGCACGTTATAATATATTCTACACATTAGATCACTAACTCTCACAATAACCCCATGAGATAAGTCCTGTAATTACTCCTATCTTTACAAGTGAGGAAACTGAGACTCCTATGTGCTAAGCCATTTGCCCAAAGTCACATGTGAGATCCTGTCTTTACAAGAAATCAAAAACAAACCTGGCTTGGTGGTGCGTACCTATAGTTCCAGCTACTCAGGAGGCTGAGGTGGAAGGATCACCTGAGCCCAGGAGGTTAAGGCTGCAGCGAGCCTGATTGTGCTACTGCACTCTGGCCTGGCGAAAGAGTGAGACTTGACTTTAAAAAAAAAAAAACAACTTACAGAACATTCTGGAAAAGGCAAAACTACAGGGACAAGAAACAACTCAGGCTGCCTGGGTATAGGGATAGAGTAGACTAAAAAAGAGCAGAAGGGAATTTGGGGAGGTAACAAACTGTGCTATATCTTGGTTGTGGTGGAGGTTATGGGACTGGGTGCATTTGGCAAAAATCATAGAACTGTGCAGATTTCATTGCCTGTAAATGACACCTTGATTTTTTTTTTTTTTTGAGTTGGAGTCTCACTCTGTCGCCCAGACTGGAGGGCAGTG